ACTGGATGATCTGTTGAGGCTGGAGTTCTATTGCTGTTTCTTTTGTGCACACTGCTTCCTTCACCACTTGACAATGCAGATCTTTATGCAGACTTTGACTGACAAAACCGTCATCCTTGAGGCTGAGCCAAGTGACACCGTTGAGAATGTCAAGGCAAAAATCCAAGACAAGGATGGCATCTCCACTGACCAGCAGAGGATGATTTATGCTGGGAAACAGCTGGAAGATGGTGCACCGTGTCTGACTACAACATCCTTAAAGAGCCAGCCCTGCACGTGGTCCTTCATCTGAAAGTGGGAATGCAGATCTTCATGAAGAACCTGACTTGAAAGACTGGTAAGACGTTGACTAAAGTCCCTGGAAGGACACATCCTGTCTGACTACAACATCCAAAAAGAGTTCACTCTGCACTTGGTCCTGCACTTGAGGGGTGGTATCTAAGTTCCCCTCTCTTAAGCTCTAAAGAAATTTCATTGCACTTTTTAAAAATAAAATTGTTGCATTCCCCACCCCCTCAAAAGAAGAATGGTGTTGTATTGATAGTAAAAAAAGTTAATTTCTAGTTCTATCCTCAAGTACAATGTTGTGAGTGATAGGATATTATCCATACACATTCGAGGAAGACTTATTAATATGACTATTACTCAAACACTCCTCTAGCTAAAGCCAAAGAGGAGAAAATTGAAAATTTTTACCAAATCTTGCAGTCTGCAAGACACATTAGTGATAAATGGCGACTGGTATGCAAAAATTGGAAACAATAAAGATGGAATGGTAGTCAGAAAGTATGGACGTGATGACAAAAATGAAGCCACAAATAGAACGAATGAATTGGGTATTTTCAGTGATATATTAATTGCAAATACCTTTACACATAGACCTCACCTGATTAACTCAGACTGACTACATCTGTGTAAGGAATCATTGGAGAAGTTCAGTATCAGCAGTTAAAACTAGGTCAGGTGCTGATTGTGGGTCAGACCATGAATTAATCATGTGCAAGATCAAACTGAGGCCAAAGAAAATTAAAACAAGTCCTTGAGAACCAAAATATGATTTTCAATCTATTCTACCTCAATTTCAAAATCATCTTAAGAATTTGAAGCATTGAATGAGCAACAATAATCAAAGACAAAATGAGTTGTGCGGTGACATCAGAGATATGATTTATAAAGACAGAAAAATATCATTAAAAGACATAGGAGAATTTAAAAAAACTCAAATATACAAAACATAAAGACAGAGGAGAAAGAAGATATGGATGTCAGAAAAGATTCTGAAAATTGCACTAGAGTATTGGGAAGCCAAAACAAAGGAAAAACATGCTGAAGTAAAATAGCTGAACAGAAAATGTCAAAAGGCAGAACAAGAAGACAAAGCCAAGCAAGATAATAAAATGTGCAGAGAGCTAGGATTGGAGAATAAAAAGGGAAGCACTCACTCTGCATTTCTCAAGATAAGAAAAACAAACTGAAGCCTCGAGTCACAATATTGAAGCATGCTATTGGCAATGTATTGAATGACCTAGGATGCCTCAAAAGAAGATGAAAGGAATACACAGTCATTGTACCAAAAAGAACTGACACTGAAACACTTAGATGAGGTACCATCTGAGTAAGAGCCAATGGTAATTCAGGAGGAAGTAGAAGTTGCACTGAAGGCATTGCCAAAAAATAAAACTCCAGGAATATATGTGATACCAATTGACTTGTTTCAATCAACAGACACAGCCCTGGATGCTCTCACTTGTCTGTGCTAGCTAATTTGGAGAACATCTGTCTGACCAACAGATTGGAAGAGGCCAATAGTTGTTCCTATTTCCAAGAAAAGTAATCCAACAGAATGTATAAACTATCAAACCATATCCTTAATATCACATGCAAGCAAAGTATTACTGACGATCATTCACAAATGGCTAGAATAGTACATCGATAGGGGACTACCAGAAGTTCAAGCAGGATTTAGAAAAGACCATGGCACCATGGATATCATTACTGATGTCAGATGGATCCTGGCTGAAAGTAAAGTATGCCAGAATAATGTCTATTTATGCTTTATTGACTATGAAAGGTGTTGGAATGTGTGGATAATAGCAAGTTATGGCCAATATTGAGAAGAATGGGCACCCCAGAGCTAATCATGTGCTAATGAGAAATCTGTACCTAGACCAAGAAGCTATTGTGTAAACAGAGCAATGGAATATTGTTGTTGTAGTTGTTTTTATGTGCCGTCGAGTCGTTTGTGACTCATAGCGACCCTATGTACAATAGCCCTAAATCCTGCTCTATCCCATGCCAATCTCATTGCCTCTGACACACCCATCCCGAGGACCCCAGTCACTGAATCAATCCACCTCATAGAGGGTCTTCCCCTCCTGCCCTGTCCCTCTACCCTACCAAGCATGATGTCCCTCTCCAAGGACCTGTCTCTCCTTACAACATGCCCAAAGTATGTCAGACGAAGCCCCAGAATCCTTGCCTCCAAGGAGCAGCCTGGTTTAACCCTCTCTAGGATGGATCTGTTTGTTTTCTTGGTAGTCTATGGAACATTCAATACTCTTCTCCAGCACCTCAGCTCAAAGGCGTCAATATTACATGTTTTAAAATTAAGAAGGGAGTGCATCTCCATACCTACCCAATCTGTATGCTAAGGAAGTTGTTCAAGAAGCTGGACTCTATGAAGACAAATGTGGCATCAAGATCAGAGGAAGACTCATCAATAACCTATATTATGCAAACGACACAACCTTGCTTGCTGAAAGTGAGGGGAACTTGAAGCACTTGTTGCAGAAGGTCAAAGAATATAACCTTCAATATGGATTGCATCTCAACATCAAGAAAACAAAAATTCTTACCACTGCATCTCTAGGCAATAACATTATAGAGAAAAGATTGAAATTGTCAACAACTTCATCTTACTTGGACCACAATCAACACCGATGGAAGAAACAGTCAGGAATTCAGGAGATATATTGCCTGGGAAAGTCAGTAGTAAGGGACTTCTACAAATTACTAAGGAGCAATCATATAAGCTTAAGGTGGTTGTGATTCAGGTCATGATCTTTCTGACCAATTGTTGTGCATCTGCGATCTGAATAATAAGAAGGACAGAAGCACAATTGAAGCCTTTGAGCTGTGATGTTAGAGAAGATCACTGAACGGCCAAGAGAACAAACAGATATGTCTTGGAGACGGTGCAGCCCGAGTGCTCTTTGGAGGCAAGAATGATGAGGCTTTGCCTCACAAACTTTGGCACGTTGCTAGGAAAGGGTATTCCTTGGAGAGGGACACCAAGCTTGGAAAGGCAGAGGATTGGTAAAGAAGAGGAAACCCTTCAACCAGGTGAATTGACACAGTGAATACTGCAATAGGTTCTAGTTTGTCAGGAAGTGTGAGGATGGCTCAGGATAGGACAGGGTTCAGATGTGTTGTTCATGTGGTTACTATGGTTTTTACTCAAATTAACAGCACATAACAGAAACAATATTCACCAAAAATTGCAAAGTGCTAAGTAGATCTTAGATCTTAATTACTATATTGAGCCTTACTAGTTTTTTTTTTCTTAAGCTATAAACTTTTATAGAAGTAAGGGATAGCTTGAGAAAAAGGTTGGTTATCTGGCTATCAAAAGACCTTCATGAGTGACAGCCCATTGTGAGCAGAAATTTGGTTTTGGCATTGCCCCTGAAGTGATCTATCCGAGAAGACTTGCAGATATTAACCAAAATGACAGGTAACTGAGGTACAAGCTAGAATACCATTCCCTTTTCTACTTTCTGCTTACATGGTAAGTGGAAATTGTTTTAGAGAGGAGAGAATATGAGATATTGTCTCTCTGTAATTATGAAATTAGGTAAAAAGAAGGTTTAGTAATCTTGTAGTCAATTGAAATAATACTATATTGAGACCAAGGAAATATTTGACAATGGAAACTATGTCTCTGATCTGGTGTCTTCCCACATTCAATATTTTCCCTTCAGATGTTCCTAAACTCGTATTCTAGAACCTCCTTTGACTTCCAATTTCTTGATATTTTATGATACTGTCCTCTTCTTTGATGATGAAATTTTTTATTTCTTAGGTCACTAATTAGGCTACAGTCAAGTCACTGTGCCCTGAACCTGGGACACATTATATCTCCTTCTATTGTGTGTTGATTTCATTGGTCCAATTCACAGTTTTATGGGACTCCACAGGAGCTTCTATCAGGTAGCCAAGTGTTAGCTGAATATGCCAAGTGACTAGCCACAATTTCTCATTCTCTTTGGGCATATTACATAGATATTGTAGTCATTTATTCAAATAAGTAGGAGAAATGGACAAGCTAATTTCCTCTGCATACCTTGTACTGGAGTATATTCAACAGAGGATAAATGAAACCGTTAAATCAATCCCATTAACTCATTAGACTTTATTTTGTTCTGGGAGTAATTTTATGACGCTTGTAGAAAAATAGGACCGGTGGCCTGAGATGTACTAAATAATAATTTTGCTAAATCAATAAAATAAGCTAATAGAAATAAACAAAATACTGGCTTTGGGCCCAGAATAAGACTGTTTTAATAGTTTCTTAAAATACACTTAAAGCAAGAGTATAGATGATACAATCTAGATGTACACAAGCCAAACTGGCAGTGGCTATTCCTTTTCAAGTTGGATTGACTCAGTGACTGCTACAATGGGCTCGAGTGTGTCAGAAAGTGGGAAGATGGCACAGGATAGGCAGGGTTTGGATTTGTTGTTCATAGAGTCGCTATGGGTTGTATTCAACTCAATGGCACCTAACAACAGAACAACAATTCCTTTTCAGATGTGTTTATCACTTCAGTCTTCAAAAATGAATAAAGTTTACAAAAATTTGTTTTCTGCAAATTATTCTACAAGACTAAACAAGAATCATCTATAGAGGTTGGGTGACAAAACAAGATGAAGACTAGAAATATGAAATCTCAAGTGTTTCTGATTTAATTACTGTTTTCCATTTATTGTATTTGTTACAGATTTAATCTACAAGATTGAACTTGCAGGAGGCCTGGGAGCAATTTTTCTCCTCCTTATACTTCTAGTAGTTATTTACAAGTGCTACAACATTGAATTGATGCTCTTCTATCGACAGCATTTTGGAGGTGATGAAACTACCAATGGTAGGATATCTCCTATTATTCAAGCCCAATAAAAAGAGCCATGGTTCAATGATTATTTAAGAGAATATCCCTATTTTTAGCAAATACACATTAAAATATTTGGGTTTCAGTGTTATGATATATTAACTAACCATCAAATACTTCGGGGAACAAATTGTATCTTTCAAGAAAAAGCAAAGGAAATAAATTATTATAAATATGAGTCTTGGTAAGGGATCAATGACTGTCCTTGGAAATATTTTTGGTGATATTCCTATATGTTTGAAATTATTTCCAAATTAAGTGTTTAACAAGAAAATATCATTAGTTTGTCCAAGATATAAACAATTGCTGTTAAAGCTCTTTTCCATAGTAAGAAACAGATCAATTATATATATTTTTCCTACAGAAAAGACAAATTTAGGTACAATTATTTTTTCTACTTTATTTTCTATTAGTTTGCATACAAAATTCATGCACCTTGTGTTTCATTCATGTACATTGTGCTTGTTGTTGTTGTTTGCCTTTGAATCAAGCACAGCTTATAGAACAAAAAGGCCCCTCTACAACTATAGGCATTTATCAAAGTTTTTAATTCATATTATATTTCATACAATCATTCATATACATTGTGTTTTATAAAATTAATCACCATTGATAATTTTTAGCCATTCTTACCGTCAAGAAAATTTTCAATCTCACAAGAAACAGATGAAAATTATGAAGATACTCCCTTTTGTGTAGTTCCTTTTGTAATTGATAATTTTTGTAAGTTTGTAAAGCAATTGGGTTTCCTTTCTCATTGTTGCACATTTTCCTCCCTGCCTCCTCTCCCTCACCCAGTTTGCTTTTTTCTCTGGGAAAAAAGGTTTTTTTATTGTTATACAGTTTCCTCCCATCCAGACCACTTTACTATGAGCTCTTATTCTGGACTCTGTCATTTCAATAATACCTAATCATATATTCCTTGTCTGTTTCAATGCCATGTGCATTATTTATCCCTCTTTTCTTAGTTACCTTCCCAACCCCCTGTCAGTCTTGTGTCATTTTATAGTATTTGTCTTTTTCTGACTGATATATTTCACTCAGCATAATGTCCTCCATAGTCACGCATTTTGTGTAATGTCTCATGAGTTCTTTGTTTTTCAATGCTGCAATAATATTCCATTGTGTGACTATACCACAGCTTCTCTATCCATTTGTTTGTTGATGGGCACTTGCGGAGGTTGTTTCCAATTAGACCTGTATATCTTAGATGATTGTAGGTACTTTCTGAAAAGTGGTCTCAAAGGATAGAAAGTCAGAGTGAACCTTCTAAGGGTCATGTGTTTGTTGTTTATGACTTCTGGAAACCTTAAGAGTGAAATGAAATATCAGTAAAGCATTATACAGTGTTATATGAATTGTGTTGTGGTGATGAAACAACTTTGCATGCTGAAACTAAAGAGGACCTGAAGCATCTTTTGCAGAAGGTCAAGGACTGCAGTCTTCAATATGAATTGAGGCTCAACATCAAGAAAACAAAGATCTCACTACTGGGCCAATTGGCAATACTATATAGATGGAGAAGAGATTGAGGCTGTCAACAATTTTGGCTTGTCTGGGTCCACATTCAACAATCTTGGCACCAGCAGCCAGGAAATCAAAAGATGAATTGGATTAGGAACATCTGCTGTAAAGGACCTCTCCAGAGTGCTGAAGAGCAAAGGCGTCAGTATAGAGACTAAGGTGTGCCTGATCCAGGCCATGATCTTCAAAATTACTTGCTGTGCATCAGAGAGGAGTTAAATGACCAAAGATGATAGAGAATAAATGACACCTTTGATAAGTGGTGCTACAGAAAATTATTGAGCATAACATGAATCAACAGGAGAACATATAGGTCTGTCTCAGAGAGGGTGAAACCAAGTTTCTCTTTGGAGGCAAGGCAACTTGATGGCATATAACTGTGTCTTGTCTCTTTGTACATTCAAGAACAGTATGATTTCTTTCTAGAAAAGATATTGGCACGCACACCATTAATACCAATAAGAAATCATGATACGTTTCACTCCTTATGCAAAAAAATACTTAGGTAAATACTCCATTTTAAACCCGTAGCTCCAATTTGGCGTATCTGGTTATGTAGTCAACGTTATCCAGTATCTGGAGCATTTAATCAGAGAATTTGATGAACAAGTTACAGACTCATTGTATAGAGGGAAAATATAATGGATGGAACTTCAACAATTTTAATTAGGATGGGTTGTTTTCGTTATGTGCCATCAAGTCACTTGCAACTCATAGCGACCCTATGTACAACAGCCCTCAACTCTGCTCTGTCCTGTGCCAATAGCACTCTCTGACACACCCATCCCGATTACCCTAGTCACTGAATCAATCCACCTTATAGAGGGCCTACCTCTCCTATGCTGTCCCTCCACCCTACCAAGCATGATGTCCTAAGGACCTGTCCCTCCTTAAAATATGTCCAAAGTATGTTAGATGAAGCCCCAGAATCCTTGCCTCCAAGGAGCTGCCTGGTTTAACCCTCTTCAGGATGAATCTGTTTATTTTCCTAGCAGCCCATGGTACCCTCAATACTCTTCTCCAGCACCACAGCTCAAAGGCATCAATTCTCCTTCTATCCTCCCTAGCCATTGTCCAACTCTCTGATGCATAACAAGTGATTGCAAAGACCATGGCCTCTATCAGATGCACCTTAGTCTCCAGAGAGACACCATTGCTCTTCAGAACATTGGAAAGGCCCCTAACAGCAGACTTTCCCATCACAATATGTCTTTTAATTTCCTGGCTGCTGGTGCCAAGAGGGTTGTCTGTGGAGCCAAGCAAACTAAAGCTGTGAACAATCTCAGTCTCTTCACCATCCATCCTGATGCTGCCAACTTGTGCCAAAGGCAGGGACAACACTGATACTAGTGGTTAACTCCACAATAGGAGATATATCTTTCACTTTTTCTGTAAAATGCTTTTCTCTCAGATACTTCTCTAAATCTGAGCATTCCAATTAAGACAGACTAGGAAGAAGGATTGGCCATCCACTTCTGAAACAGCAGGCCTCTGAAAACCCTATATTAGGATGGGTAGTTAAAAATATTTTATTTTCTTACATGGGCACAGTTTGAATTCACCAGTTACTCCATGAAGAAAGATGGTTAGTCTGCTCCCATGCAATTTACTGCCTCTGAAAGCCCGCTGCAGTTTCAGCTATGAGTTGGTTCTGACTCGATGGTACACAACAACAACAACAACATGAAATAGTGGCCATTATAGAAGGCAAGTTCAGTTTTAGCTGTATGGCATACTGAAAACACAGCAGGTATATGATGAGATTAAATCTTAACACATTCTACAAAGATCTAGTTGACTAATTTAAGAAAAAAATAATTTTTCATTTCTTGACTTAAATATTTTAGCTTCTCATAGATTTAACTTAATTTTATTTGTGTACTTTATTTTTTGTTTCTCCCTGAACTGTATGTGCATTTCCTGAACATTTTTACGTGCCTTGTTGTTTGTAAAATTAAAGCTGCCCAACAAGCTTAGATTTCTTTGCTATTATTTATTTCATTTCAACTCAATGAACAATGATTGCTTTGTTAAACTTTTCAATTTAGTCAATAAATATTTATTGTCCACTATGTGCTGGAAAAAGTATATAGCAAGATGGCTACTTGGAGACAAAGAGAGTAAAGCTTCATCTCTCATACTTTGGAAATGTATCTAGGCAAGGTTATTCCTTGGAAAGGGACATCATGCTTGGAAAGATGGAGGGTTGGCACAGGAGGGGAAGTTCTCCAATGAAATGGATTGTCGTAGTGACTTCAGCAACGAGTTTGAGTGTGTCAGAAATGTTGAGGATGGAACAGAACAGGGCAGGGTTCAGGTACAGGGTCACCATTAGCCGTACTCAACTCAATGGACCCTCATAATAACAACAACAACAACATGTAACAGGCACTGTGCAAGATAAATTTATATTCATTGATCTGTATCAATGCTACAAACACACTCACAGAAGTTACACAGTTATTAAGCAAATATGAATCTCAGGCAATATGATAGACAATGATGATGATGATCATTGCCATCGGATCAGTGCTGGGAACAAAATAATCAGCAAGAGACATCATTTTTTTATTTATTTATTCTTTTTTTTTTTCAGTTTAGAAGCTAAGGGTTTAACACTATCTTTAGCAAAACCCCAGGCAAACTAGGTCATAATCAGGAATGGCTTCCTCATGGTGAACAGGATTAAAATTAGATTTATAAGTAGAGAAGGACAGGTGTGACAACAGGAAAATTCTTCCACAGATAGTTTGGCTCTTTTCTCATCCTCATGACTCCTCTCTTCAACAAGAACAAAATACTTATGGTTACCACTATGCCAGCCCTCTTCCTTATAGTTCTCTGTCTACTTCATGTTCTATTTTATGGTTCTTCAGATGAGCTTAGTTAGCATGATTTAGATCAGAGAATAGCTCATTAGCCTTGTCTATGTAACTGGTGCTGCAGAATTGCCATTCTATTTTAAAACAATTTTCAGGCCTCACTTTTTTTTTAATTTAGGTTGTTTA